TCGGATGTTTTTCAGGCACCGCTGGACCTAGGCAATTGTTCGCAACATATCGTTCAATATTTTTATGATGCTGCTATAAACCGATGCAAAAAGTTTTTTTACAGGTTGCGTTTTCATTCTGGTTGATTTTGACGATTTGGTCTGTGAACGACAATCTTTTTGAAGCTATCGATTTGTTGAGTAGACGCTATTAATCTCCATAAAACTGTCACAAATCATTCGGATATTGAGAGATTAGTGTTATAAATGCAAATTAAACCGCTTTGAGTAATACGTAAAGCTTAATTGAAGTGGTTGCGGTGGGAATGCGAATCGTTTCGGCAGCCGTGCTCAATGCCGACAACGTTGTGCTCGTCTTAAAACAACAACACCAAGAGCAAAAACAATTGCATCACACATGAAGAACACTCATGCAAATACTTATTCAGTTACATGTGAGATTTCTTGATGCTCAATTTGCAATCTTCCGATCGCTTCCTTGGAGCACTATCTGAACCAGCAACCTCATATGAATCAACAGCTGATTTTATTAGATCGATATAAACCGGGTCACTGCTAGCTGTTGATTCAGGCTCAGATTAAGGCTCGGTAACTTCAGTGATGTTAAGCGCTAGCATCCACCAGCGACTTTGAAAAAATTAAGGCTCAATAACCATTCGCTAGCGATTTCGAAAATGTCCGTTATTTAAGGAGTAAACGCATGTGCAAAAAATGGTCGTCTCCAAAGAGAATCGCTCCGGATTCAGTGTCATTTCGGAAAAAATGGACTAAAAATTTTAGCACTGACATTTTAGCACGAAAATTTTAGCATTTTAGCATTGGCCTAGTTGATTGGACAAATCACCATTAACAAATAAGCGAGACCATGCCGTATAGCCCATAGATTAACAGAGGTCATCCAAGCTGGTATGGCGATCAATTCGCTAAATCCTATTTGTGGTATATGCTATGATTGTGTGATTCTTAAGTTCAGAAAAATTTCAAGGTACTCAAAAGTTTTGAGAGCAGATACGTTGAGTTGTTCCATCAACACTCTCTCAGAATCGCTCGCATTTCAAGGGAATAGGACACAAATAGTATTTTTGGCTGAATGTGTTTTTTAAAGAATGTTTATCAGTTATAGTCTCAGCATCTTCAAGTTTTTGTTCGTTTACTGGACGGTCGGAAGTTTGCTTCGATTCAAAGGTGTTTCTTGCTGTATATTATTAGCAGCGAGACACAATGCACCTGTTCGTTACCTGTTTGTCTGCATAATCAGTATTTAGTGATCATCACTGCATTAGACAGCAACATCACTGATTAATCGTTTCGAAGAGAATGCTCACGTAGCACCACGAGTGCTTCATCTGGAGCTCATATATTTCGTCGCATTTGAGACGGTCAAATATCTCTGAGCTGCTGAAGTTTTGCTTGTGACGAGCGATTGCAGTGAATCGCTTTCACGATCAGAACAGGACGCTAGTTCCTGAAAAGAGTTTTATGTCGCCATGAATGAATATGTTTTAAGAGACCGGGACTGTAGGCATCTGAAAGTGGGGATATGACTTGCTAGTGATAATAATAACAATAATAAAAATAAGATTATGTGGATGGTCATATGACATTATTGAGGATAATTATTGAGGATAATAGTTAATAATAGTGCTGATAATACTTCCAATAGTAACAGTCCTTAACAACAACAAAATGAATGAACCATTCCCCCTTTATGAGTATAAATGATCACAATGGTGCTATTTGCAGATCACCGAAAGCGTAGTAATGAATGTTCGCAATGTGATCCGAAGTATGGAGTTTGTGCTAACGGGCGATGTCGATGTGTGAAAGGTTTCGCAGGTGATGGCAAAAAATGTGAAGGTGAGTCTTAAGCTGTAACTGGCTTAGTGGGCCTGGGATCGAAGTGGAGATTCGATCCATAAGGAACGATCCGAACACGATCAGTTTGAAGGAATTCTGACAATTCCGTGTTACGCCTTGTTTTCGTCTATAGAAAAGAGAGACAAATACAACTCTCTAACCATATCACTGGATAACACTAATATATTCATTGTTTTAACTAATTTATGTTACAGCCTAAAAAGAGGAAAATTCTCAAACTCCCAATAATTTCAATTCCTCTTATTCGTGGCTGAATCTGAGCAATTTTCCACATCCAATCTCACATTCGTTTCATTTTCATTGAAAAACCAACAAATGCAACTGAAAGATACAATTTGAAATCAACAAGGTTGATTGACAGAAACAATTTCATTGGCATATTTAATGAATCCTTAAAATAGCTTAAGAAATGAAATGAAAAAACAAAATGAAGACATTTTCTAGTGCTGCTTTCATTATTTTTTGTTTTGTTTTCCTATTTCACCGTTTTTTTTTCATTTCGAGTCGTCGTTTCGTTTTCAACAATCAGTCAAATTACTACTCTATCACGTTTTTTTCGAGCAAACAAAAACAGAATGTCTTACGCCAGTAAAAAATCGCTTATTTACGTTTACTAGCATAAAAACCAACAGTGTGTGGATAGGAAATGGGGATTAAAAAAGAGAAGAAAGACAAGACCGTCATTTTTTCACTACGAATTCTTATCGGGAAATCGAATCCATTATGTTGTTGATTTTGTTTTGTTTTATCGTCTTTGTTACATAAACTCTGACTCAGATGAAAAATTATCTTTTCGAAGAATTGTAAGTAAAAGATTCATTCATTCTCACAGCATGAGAACGGGGAAGGAGAAAAGACAAGTGGGGAACCTTCACAAGGCACGAAAGGACTACCATTAGAAAGGCTTATTATCATCCTAATCATCTTACCTTTTGAGTGGCAACAATTTTTCAAATTCTATTTTGTATCCGTTAATTAGCTGTTGTGATTTTTTGTATGTGAATTGTGTTTTAATTCTGTTTTCATATGATCCTGCGTATGATTCATTCTAGCTGCAATGATTTTTTGGTAGTTGTGTTTTGTCAGTGAAGTCAAGTCTTTGTTAATTGATGACAAATTGCTTCGAGAATCATTTATAAGTGAGAAATTGTTGCTCAAAAAGCAATTGAGGCGGTTTTTTCCGTTGTGTTGATCGATGAGACTTCCCATCAGTCTCATCAATATTTTCTCGTCATTAATTAATGCATGATTCAGCGGTTCCCTTCAATTTTATACATTGATTTCAATGATTGGGCTCATTTATGAGCTATTCTATTATCTGAGCACACAATCTTACCAGTTTTGAAGCGATCATGGCATTTATTTAGACTATTTTCTAATGGAAATCCGTCTAACGTTCACAAAAGGTTTTTGCAAATTCAGTTGATTTACTGACAGATCTAAGGTCTCACTGAAATTTAATGTATCGCTCGCTATTAACATGGTATTAGCCTAAACAAAAGCAACTAATAATTCCGCTATACTAAAGCTACATTTACCAATATAAGTCAATTGTGCTACCTAATTATATCTATATCAAGCGTAAAGCTCTCTTATCTACCAGCTGCCTTACATTTCAACTAACAACAATTTAAGATATAAACGAATGTACAGAAGATGTGAAAAGATGTTCAGCGAATGCATTTTGCATCAATACAATTGGATCGTTTCGATGCGAATGTCAACTGGGTTATGCAGGGAGTGGCTGGAATTGTACGAAAAGTTCAGGTCAACACCATCAACTTTCAGGAATTCACTTCTTCAGAAACTCAGTTCAGAGCCTCAGCCTTAAGAGAGAAATCAGCAATAATTGCACGAAACTGAGTCAACGTTGATCAGTCTCTATGAGCTGACCTTCTCTAGATCGAATTAATGGCTCATATCACATTTTTACCGCTTGAATCTACCCAGAATTTGTTCATTCTGCTGTTGTAATCACTATGTTGTAACGTTTACCGTGTGCTTTTGTAAAAAAGGATTAATTGCTTCGCTAACATCAGAGTACTAACATATAACATGGAGTTAACAGCTATCACAAGATTAAGCTTAATAATATAATCATATAGACTTACGAAGTTTCTTCGAATCAATTAAGCAGCCGAATTCAGCGCGTGAAGATAAGCTGGATTTAAAAATAAGTACGAGAATCAACAGTCTTGGATTTTAAAGCAATTTAACTTTTGGAACTAAACTAAGTTCGGTCATACTTTACAGGTTCGTATAAATTGCAGTTGGTCTTGGAGTCATCTGCTGTAACGTTTCAGATATTTGCTCACAAAAATTTGATCGACGTTATGAAGCTCAATGTTCTCAAAGTGGTGAATGGGAGATCCGATATTATTTTGACGCGGCCTCGTCGTCTTGTCGGAGATTCTGGTACGGTGGGTGCACAAGCGCGAATCAGAACATTTTCGCAGATGCTCAGGTCATCTTCAAGCCAATCTATTCGTTGAAAAACTTTTCAGTTATCATTTACGAACCTAAACTTGGCATAATGCAGTGGTTCCCACATTCGGGTGATCCATTACCCTTTTTGATGATCTGACAGATCGCCGTTACCCCCCCCCCCCTTAATAAATATGAAAATCGCAAATATTATGTTCAGATGACCGTTACGTTCAATCTTATTAGCACATCCATGATGCTAACGGACATTGCTGGGCCTTCCCTTAGACCGTTATGTTCCTCAGTATTGCAATCGATCATGACTGCATGAAAAGCTATTGCCTATGTCACGCTCATTTCAAACTGTTTTGCATGAATTCTCATTCTTTTTAGACGTGTTGTATTCACTCTCATAGCTATTACATGTGAATACAGTTCTCTTGATGAGTTTTTATCATTCGTTTCGTCTCATTTCACTTCACTGTTCCATTCAACTTCTCATTCTGTAGCATATACTGTTTACTGGATATGTCGACGA